GAGAGGGACGGCGGCGCCCGGCCCTAGGAGCGAGCTCTGCGGCGCGGACTGGAGGCACTGACCGTGGCGGGTCCCGCGGAGGAGCACTGAGAGGAATCCCGAAGTGCGGGCGGGGGGCGGGGAGGGATGGAGGGGACTGCAGTGTCTCCATGGCCGTTCCCCAGTGGGATGGCCCCTGGAGGCCGGGTGCAAGTGCCTTTGACAACTTCTCGTGGGTATTGACTTGCAGGAGAAGCCCCGGGAGGATTCCTCGTCGGCAGCGTGTCCCCGAGCGTCCCAGGCGCGGGGAGCAAACGTGCCACACAAAAGCTGGCATGGGACGCGTGCATGCAGCAACCGTGCGGGCAATGCGGGCTTGAGCTATCGGGATCTGAGCATCTCCGAGGCGGGAAGGAACCCAGAACGTCCCGTTTGGACACGGAAACGCAACCCATAGTTTTTTAGGAGGTGGGTTATTCTCAAGGAATTTTTGCCCAAGATTATCAGTGCAGAGGATGGACACAGATTTTAGGGTCGAGACGTGCTGCTGGTGGAACGCTGTCGTCCTTCTTTGAAGTTTAACAACGAGGGGTGTTCCCACACGTACGGCCACCCTGGCCACCCTTGTTGAAAGCCATTTGCCATAGCTCTCCCCAGTTGCATGCAAAAGGAAGAAGAGAAAATGGACTGCTTTAAAGTGTTTCCTAAATCCAGAGCCCTATGAAACACAAAGCAAGTTCCTCCCTGGCGTTTTAGGGTCAGTACGTGCTTCATTCACAGATATGCTGTTGGCACTGCCTGTTTAGAAGGTAAAAATAGTGACAGGAAGCTTCCAATTTTTTTTTCTCCTGCTGTCTCAAGTACACACCGCTTCCAGTGTTCACAGGTCATGCCTGACGATCCTGCTGTCTCCGCGTACCTGGCATTATCTCAACAGTAGCCAGGAGGATCTGTTTTAGACACACCTCTCATTTAGATAAATCCCTGTACTGCTTCTTCATTGCCCTTCAGATACATCCTAACTTACAGGGGTGTGAAGGCCTTGTTACCCCAGCACATGCCACTCACTAGCCCTCTGTTAGCTGACAACATAGCATTTGCCCACCTGAGTATTTTATGTGCCTCTTCCCGTAGCTAGCTGCTGTTGCTCATGGTTGGTTGGTTGTTTTTGTTTTTCATAACTGATCCTGCAAAAGGTCTCTGATCATGCCATGCTGGGATTTGAGGCATCTTTCTCCTTCGGGAGCTACATGGGTCCGCTTGACACCTCCTACTCTCTCTCTATTCTGTTAAGATTTCCCACCTGACTTTACTCTGCTAAGTCGTTGGCCAAAGCGGCTCTATTCATCAACCAGTGAAAGCAACACATGTACTGTCTCAAAAATATAAAAATTAAACAAAAAAAGGGTGTATCTATAGAATAAAAAACTATTCAGTCCTGAAAATAAAAGGGCATTCTAATGCACCCACAGCAAAATAAAACAAAGAAAATCTGCTAAGTGAAGTAAGCCAGTCACAGAAGAGCGTGTGTGCTGATCTATATAGACAGACTGAGGTTACTGAGTGGGAGGGTGAGGGGCAAATTAGGAGTTGTTATGTAATGGATTCGGGTACAGTTGGAGAGGTGAACGGGTCCTGAAGGTGGTGGGCTGAACCACAATAGGGAGACACTTTAGTCTGTAGAAACAAACTTAAAGGGATTAACATTAAAATTTTCATATATTTTAACCACAAAACCTACTAAATCTAGAATACAAAAACTATTAGCAAGAACTACTAGGTGCAAATGAATAGAAAGCAAACTGCCGATAGCACACGTGGAAACTGAGCTATTTATCCGGGCCCCAAATTTTGATTGTTAAAAATTCTGTCTGTACTTGGAGGTACAGTGCCTTTACTGGGGTAGCTCGATTACAAGGAGGCCAATAGGGTGGGTCCTAAGCCAATCTGATGGGTGCCCGAAGAGATGAAGTGCAGAGGCCCACAATGCTTCCATTGGTAAAGTCAGAGAGGAGAAAGGCATCCTCAAGCCTTCAAAGACCCAGCCCACCAGCACCTTGCTCTTGAACTCCAGGACTCTTGGAGAGTGAGGTACACACGGATGCTATCACTGCCTCTCGGCTCCATCTACAGTACTTCATTTATCATAGCCGCATGGAGCCAGCTCAGGTGGTGTGCAGCACTCTGAGGCTAAGAACCCAATGCTTTCCAAAATTTGCAGGCTAAATGCAGTGAGGACAGTTGCCAAACTTTTTTATTTTTGAAAGCCATATGAATTTTCCTCTTGAGAGTAAATTGTTCTTTATTGAGAAGGGACGCTATATTTGTTTACATAGGTAAATTCAACTTTTTCTGCAACAAAGCTCAGGAAAATGAAACTTCCTCCCACGGCTCCCTAGGATTCCATACACATGTGCTGGTGTTGCTGACAGAGTTCTTAGGCCAACTTAGGCTAAGTTAAAGTTCTTAGGCCAAATTGTGACAGGTGGAGAAAATGGGTTCCAGCTTGTCATGGGAGGATTACATAGCCTTGACTAGGCACCTACTCCCAAAATCTGGGGTAATCTGGCCTCTGCAGGATAGCAGCAGGCTGGAAACCACAGAATTTTCCTGCCTTCTGATTAGGACAATAAAACATTAAATTTTACAGGTAAATAAAGCAGAGGCTTAGAATGGTGTGATTTGCTGGGCATTGGTGGCGCACACCTTTAATCCCAGCACTCAGGAGACAGAAGCAGGCTGATCTCTGAGTTTGAGGCCAGCCTGGTCTACAGAACAAGTTTCAGGACAGCCAGGGCTACACAGAGAAACCCTGTCTCGAAAAAAAAGAAAGAGAGGCAAATTCTAAAAAGAAAAGAATGGTGAGGTGGCAGGAGGTAGCCTGATAGCTAGGTAGCTAGACGGAGGTCTGAGAGATCCTTTCAATTTAGTAGGAATAGTCCCTGTGGCTTTCAACAGGAATAAGGGCAGAAATTACTAAACACCCTTCACCAAGAGGCCACTGTAAAATAAGACTTAAGGGGGACAGGAAATGGAGGGCTTGATTCCTGAGTGTCTATCAAGGTATCCTGGGTCACAGCAGCAGGATCAAAGGTACCACAGACAGAAACAGCAGAGCAACAGCAGGCCTGAGGACAGTCAGTGACCTTTCTTCCAGTGTGGTCATATCCGCACAAAGAAGGAAGAATGCCTTTAAGTAAGGTAATTAATTAAATTCTTGTAATTTTAATTACAAGATTTAATTTAATTATACTTATAATTCTAGGATGTGCAAAACCCCAGGTTTGATCTCCAGCACTGAAAAAAATTACATGTCATTACGCATCACAGAAATCCTAGCATTCAAACATCCCGAGTTCAAGGCCAACCTCAATCACATATCATGTTCAAAGGCAATCTGAGCTACATAAGATCCTGTCTGAAAAACTAAACAGTAAGCAAAAGCCAATATTGTTGACATAGTGTGTAGTTAGTAGTCCAAATGATTTCAAAGTTCCACCCCTGCCTGGTAAGCATAGACAGTCTATGCTTAAGCTCTTTAAGGATAGAAGGTACAGGGCAGCATCAGCAACAAAATGGCTCAAGTCTACAGGGAGCTGGAAGCACCGAAATGCCCATAGGTGGGGAGGGGACAGGTGAGCACACGGGTCTGTGTCAACACTGGAAATGGTGGGGAGAGGGGAAATGCTGCCCTGCGACTATGTAACCACAATCAGACCTCAAAAGCAAATTTGCGGTGCAATTCCTAATACCTGGGCAATGTGAAAAACCTCATGCAAAGAAATGATTTTCAGTTGGTGTTGGATTGGCCATCTGCCAGACAGCTGCAACAACGGAATAGAGGCTACCAGAGGAAAGCAACTGACAGACCCGTGAAGGTGTTTGGCAAAAAGTCCGTTGCGAATATGGTTAAAGAAGGCTGGCTGAAAAAACCATGTTTGGATTGTTTGTTGTTGTTCTTTTGATTCTTGAAGCCCAGACCCACACAGGTGCTCTTTGCCTTGAGCAAATGTCCCCACAATGGTAGTGGGAAACCATGCATGGAAGCTTCCAGAAACAAGAGTCCAGGAAGTGGACTTGACAGAATCAGAATGCAAATTTTTAATAAGCTTCCTGCAATCAGAGCAGCTGCAGTGATGGAAACAACAGATGCTGAGGGAAAAAAAAAAAAAGTCTGGTAGACTCTGAAAGAACTTGAGTGCAAGATAGCAAGATAAAGGCTGAAGACAGGGAGAGGAACGGGAGACCCTGAAATGGTGTTTGCCTTGAGAGGGTTTTTTGTTCCAGGCAAACTTGACCTTTGGGCTCTAACAAGCTCTTAAGCGAAAGAGGGCAAAAGTCAAAGCTTAGAATCTGACCAGGGGAGAACCATGTGGGACTTCAGAGGGCTACAGCCCAGGTCATTTCCCCCCTGCACTCCAGGAGACCCGGAGGAAAAAGAGGAGGCACTGCACAAAACGTCCAGCCCAGCATAGGTGCTCTTCACCTGAAGCCCTGGTGGAAACTGCTCCCATCATGGTAGTGTCATAGACATCAAGGAGCAGTCGGAAAGCTAGTCTCATGACTGCTGTAACAGTTCACTGCCAACTTGGCTTAGAACAAGAGGCTGGAGAGATGGCTCAGTGGTTAAGAGCACTGGCTATTCTTTCCAAAGTCCTAAGTTCAATTCTCAGCACTTACATGGCAGATTTTAAGTGTCTGTACACTGTAGTTCCATGGGATCCGGTTCGTTCTTCGGGAGCATGCAGGTAAAATGTTAATGTATCATTTAATATAAATATAATAAAGCATAGTTAATATAAATCATCTTTAAATTTTTTTTTTAGCTTATGACTCCTTTTTGTCTAAGAACTTTTTGTGAGCTGGATAGCACAGGTATATAAAAGAGGCAAACAAATGAAACATTTACTAAAACTGAATCATTTATTTTAAACAATTTTGACATACATTATATTAACCTTTACTAAAAGTATGTACATTAGTGACACAGCTGAGCTCATTTTTCCCATAAATAGGTAACATAGGATAAAAGGGCCAGCCAAAGAAACCCACCCTGACCCTGAAACCAGAGCCAGTGAAAGAAACTCACCCTGGCCCTAGAATCAAGGCCGGTGAAAGAAATATGCCATGGCCTTGAAATTAGAGCCAAAAAGCTAATAAGGGGTCTTTGAAAGAAACACACTTTGGCCATGAAACCAGAGCCAAACCTGTCCCTGACCAACTAAGCAGAAAACCAACCAATTCCAGAGCAGAAAACTAACCAATCCCTGCGCATGAGATCTAGCCAATCTGAGCTCAAGGGACTCAGATCTGACCAATTCCCACCCTGAAAATCTCCCTGGAAAAATTTCACCCCTAAGAATCCCTGTATAAGCCCTGTAACTGTTCAGTTTGCTGCTGCCTTCCTCCACCCTGGCAGAGGCAGCCACTCTCCTGGATTCTTCACTCTCAATAAATCTGGTAAATGAAGGTTGGGTGAGGGCCTGCTTTTGCCAGAGCAGAGAGGGAACCTGTAAGTGGAAGCTGCTCTTTCATTTCCAGGCTGCTCAGACCTGAATAATCACACAGAAACTGTCTTAATTATAACACTATTAGCACAGGCTTCTTATCAACTAACTCTTACATCTTAAATTAACCCATTGCTATTAATCTGTGTATCACCATGAGGTTATGGCTTACTAGGCAAAGTTCTGTGTCTGTCTCCTCCTTTGGCAGCTACTTGGCTTCTCTTTGAATCCACCTACTCTCTCTCTTTATCACTTCCAGCCTGACTATATTTTGTCCTGCTACAAGCCAAAGAAACTTTATTTATTAAGCTATAAAAGTAACACATATACAAAAGGACATCCCATATCAGATCCTGGGTGGAGCAGCTCAGAGCAGGGCTATAAGGCTTTCCCTGGGAAACCCTTCCCCTAGCAGAGCAGAGTTGCTACACTCTTCGGGTGGGGCAGGTGGATGGGAGCAGAACTGTAACAACCTTGCTGGGGAAACCTCTCCAGTCGTGAGGGAGCAGAGCTGTTACATTGGGGACACCTTTCCCTGGAACACTGGTATACGTTGCTACACTTACTGTGACCTGTGGTATTCCATGGCTCCTGACTGCTAGAATTCCCTTCCTTCTGAGCTGTAATGCTTACAGTTAAATCCTGGCTGAATATTTGATACTGCAAAGAACATCTTCAACATCTCTCAGAATTCATCAAGGCTTTAATAAAGTACTGTTAATAAAAACTCAGAGTCAAAAATTGGGGTTCAACCTGAAGGTCAGAAAAGCAAAACAGCCAGTGACTGGCTCTTATCTCGACCTCAGTCCAAAATGGCAATCCTGCCTCCAGGAATCTCAGAATGAGACTGAGCCTGAGAGCTGTC